AAAAAAAAAAAAAAAAAAAAAAAAAAAAAAAAAAAAAAAAAAATGTTTGAAACCCCAAAATTGAGGGCCGTATATAATAGGTTTTCGTACATATACGAGAGTACGAGATACATAGGAAGGTGGAGAGAGAAAGGAAGAAAAAAAGAAAGCGGTAGCTGAGATTAAACGCGACCGGCTGCGCCACTGACTCCCGCGAGTTATTCCCTGATGTATATATATACAAGCATCCAGCATAGCAGCAGTGAACGCGTGTTTCACCCTTTTAGCCCTGAAATGTGAGACGCGCATATTTGTGCGTATATATACGCGTGTGTGTGTGCATGTGTACATATATGTTATACTTGCACGCCTCCTTAGCCTCCGTGATCCACCTCCTCCTTCTCTTCTGTCGCTCACTTCTGCCGTACGCTGCACCTTCACATGTGCCTTGTAATACGCCTATCTTTTTCTCCTCCACTTCTGTATTTCTCTCTTATTTTTTATTTTATTTTTTTACTTTTTCTCTCCTTGCAATTTTTTGTTGTTGTTAGTTTACTCCCAAAGAAAACAACGGCATGCCGTATAGCATCGCTTACGAGCTTTCTCGCGTTTATTTGCGCTCAATTTCTAAGTGGATGACGGTAAAATACGTCCTTGATGAGCAGTCAACGAAATTTTCCTTACCTGAAAAGTTTTGTTGCGCTCTTGGGAGGCTTTCATCCCTGAAATCAAAACGACAAAGTTTCAAAGAAATCATAAAAATTGTAAAAAAAAATTGAGACTGTCGTTTCGGGCATGGATGTCTTGTGGTACCCGTGTTTATTATGTAAATTTACTTTGTTTATTTAAATAATATGCAACGCAATGGTGAGTTTTTCAAAATGTTGAAAAAAAAAAAAAAAAAAAAAAAAATTAAAACTATTTTTAGTAATTGCAGTTATGGGTACTGAACTCAGTCACTTGCTTGTTGTTACGATATTTCGGAGGTGAGTTTTCTTTTTATTATAAGTGAAATAAAATCGTACGCGCAATTTTGGAGACAAAAACAAAACAACTATAACATAAAAAAAGAATCAGAATTTAGAAATTTTGTATATACAAAAACTATCCATTTCAGAAAAGTATTTCGAGAATTTTTCTGGTGTTGGGACAAAAAAAATGATTTAAAACAAGTTTTACCCTCGAATTGAATTTATTTCGCATTTGAGAAAAAAATAAAACATTTAAAATGTATGTATCCAGGGTCTTGTTCCCTACTGCACATATATGTCTAAGTATGTACACGTTTATTGTTGTTTGTAAAAAAATTCGGCACAATCGGCACACACCGTAATAGCCAAACGTATATACATGCACATAACCACTACCATTCGCAAGCTGCGCAAGTATATATAATTATGTAATTTGCGC